CAAAAAAAAAAAAAAAAAAAAAAAAAAAAAAAGGAAATCCCCACATTCATTATTGATAACCTTCCCCCTTTCCTCAGCCGCGAAATCGACCCCTCAAAAAAGGAAAAGAGATCCTCCTCTTTCCGCCGGCGATGATGATTGCTTGCCTGGATCGGTTTGTAACGGACACCGATTCCCGCCGCCCGCACGACGGCTCTTCCTTGTGCAAAGCTTTAGAGCTTCAACTACAAGGCGGCATCACTACTGACTCCCGGGACATCGGTTTAGCCGGTAAGGATTTCGGTGGGCTACATTCCATTACGCCCTTGGCCTTAGTGAAACCCACCGGTGCCGATGACGTGGCGAAGGTGGTGAAATCAGCCGTACAGTCGTCTAATCTAACGGTAGCAGCTCGAGGAAACGGGCACTCGATCAACGGCCAAGCGATGGCAGATCGAGGCTTGGTTGTTGACATGACGGCGATGGAGAATCATTTCCATGTCGTCTTGAATAATGGGCTGTCGTACGTCGACGTGTCGGGAGGGGCAATATGGGAAGACGTATTGAAACGCTGCGTTTCAGATTACGGATTAGCTCCTAGGTCATGGACGGATTATCTTAGCTTAACAGTCGGTGGGACTTTGTCAAACGCCGGCGTGAGTGGACAGGCGTTCCGGTACGGCCCACAAATATCCAACGTCGCGGAATTGGAAGTGGTGACCGGAACCGGCGACACTCTAATTTGCTCCGAAATGGAAAATTCTGAATTGTTCTTCAGCGTTCTGGGTGGGTTGGGCCAGTTCGGTATCATCACAAAAGCTCGCGTCTTGCTTCAGCCAGCTCCGGATATGGTAATTTCCAACCAGAAATTTAACGGCTTTTCGGTTAATAACTGAATGAGCGACACATTTACGTTAAGTAATTAATTTGGGTTTAATTTAATTAAATTGTGATTAGGTGAGATGGATTAGATTGGTTTATGCTGAGTTCGAAAGCTTTACACGTGATGCGGAATCGTTGGTACGGCGGCCGGAAGGAGACTCGTTTGATTACGTGGAAGGATTTGTTTTTTCCAACAACGACGACCCATTAACCGGTAGATCAACAGTGCCGTTAGACTCCGACGCGGCTTTCGACAAAGCTCATTTACCGGAAACCGCCGGTTCGGTTCTCTACTGCTTAGAAGTAGCGGTTCACTATCGGAACAACGACCAAGGCGCAATCGTCGACACGGTAAACAAAATAATAATAATGATATTTTTATAATTACGTAATGATGAGAGATATTGGGGGATTTGTGACCGTCGGATTTGGGAGGATCTGTGGGGACGGGTATGTAATGTTTGTAGAGACACGCACACGTATAATTGTCGTAAAAAAAATGACTGGGTTTTTGACCTTAGTGAAGAAGGAGTGGGGAGTGGGAGTGGGTCCCAGGTGGTCGGATTTAGTAATTTAATTGAATTAAAAAAAAAAAAATGCAGCGGCGGAGAGTGAAAAGGTCAAAACCGGTTATAGGGGGGCTGAGTCATTAATTTTAAAATTTTATTCTTTTTGGTCATTATTATCCAAACCATAAACCGACGACCTTTCCTTTATTGTTTTAAAATTATAAATATTATGAGGCTGTTATTTAATTTTAGAAAATAAATAAAAAAAGAAAAGAAAACTGACAATACGATATAATGTATCTTCCATTGGATTTTCTGACAGTGGTCTCCTCCTATAAATGTCCAGAGTATCTATTATTCCTAATTACGAGGATGCCATTCCTTCTTTTATTTCCAATTTATTGTTTTTTTTAATTACTGGGGTAGATTGGTAAATTAACTAGAAGATGTCGGGGGTAGAATCGTAAAATGGAGAGGGGAAGGGGAGCGTTTGGTAAAAAAACACTGATTATTTGAGATTTTGCTGGTCCCCATAGGTTTACAGAAATGGCCAAAAAGCCATCCTTTTCTGGAATCTGTAAGTCATCATGAGTGGGCATGTCGTTTTGCTTTGGGGGAAATTGACGAGAATGCCCCTGGTGTTAATTTTAGTGTTTTTTGGGGGGCTGTTTTGGCAGGAGGTTCACAGGTTGCTGACCGGGCTTGGGTATATAAAGCCACTGAGATTCCAGGTGGACGTCAGCTACATACAATTTCTGTCACGTGTGAAGCGTGCGGAAGAGGAAGCTATCGCCAATGGCGTTTGGGATACACCTCATCCTTGGCTTAACCTCTTCGTGTCCAAATCTGACATCTCTGATTTTGATCGTGTGGTTTTTAAGTCCCTCCTTCAAAATGGGGTCGGTGGGCCCATGCTCGTTTACCCTCTACTGCGTAGCAGGTAATACTTTTCTTTTTTAATTATTATTAAAATGCTATTTAAGCTAAAAATGCTTACTGCCACGTAATAGTTGGCCAAATGTCCAGGTGGGTGCTAAACGACGACGTTTTTCACGAACTGTATCTGCGTGGACACGTGTTGTCCACATGGGCCTGGGGTGGATGGGGATGGGGATGGGGATGGGGATGGGAAATGGGCCCAAAACGATGACGTTTAGGCTTAAACCTTAAGTCACCTGAGCCCTTCAATCTGATTTGCTGACCAAATTTCTGAACCATTTAGATTGGGTGGTTAGGATTTGAAATAGGTCAAACAGCTCTATACACACGTGGCACCTCACTCCTCACACGTGTGATGCACAAATATATTTAAATACTCCGATTAACGTTGTTTGTTTGTTATTTATTTATTTTTTAAAAAATAAAAAATAAAGAAAAGACACTTCAGCGTTTTGGGGAAGATAAGATAATAAGACATTAATAATTTAATACGAATAATAATGGAAGTATGTTTAAAGAATAGTGTACTTGCGGGACAAAGATATTGTGTCCGTCCCACGTTTTGGAATGTTAAAAAAATTTGAATATTGACCGATTTGTCGAAGGAGGGGCAAATTGGTCAATGTGAATATTACTTTTCTAGGAAAATGGGATTTTCTTTTCCTTTTTTTCCTTTTTCTAAGAGATGTAACTTTCACAACCGCTAATAAATGAGAAACAAAAGTGATGGAACTTTCAAGTCGATATATTTGCTATCTATTATAACGATAAAGTTTTTTATTTGCCAACCTGGATATATATATTCATTAACACCATAGACCTAATCGAATTCCCCTAAATACCCTTCCCCTCGGTCCACTTGATTTCATCTCAATCTAAACCCTTTACTTGGGTAATAATTGCAGGTGGGACTCTCGGATGTCGGTTGTGTTACCCGAAGGCGAGATATTCTATTTAGTAGCATTGTTGCGCTTCACTCCCCCGAACCCAAAACCTACAATGGTTGACAAATTGGTGGAGCAGAACAGGGAAATTATTCGTCGATGCAAAGAGAATGATATCGACTTCAAACTCTATTTGCCACACTATCATTCGAGAGATGAGTGGAAGCTTCACTTTGGAAACCAATGGAGTAGATTTGTGGAGAGAAAAGCATTATTTGATCCAATGGCCATCCTTGCTCCAGGTCAAAAGATCTTCACGAGAATTCAACAACGCTCGCATTAAGATGATTCTTTTGACCTCAAAATAACAATTATTAATTTTTTTTCTTCTTCTTTTAACAAAAATCTTGATATTGTTGGCTTCAAAAGCAAACTCAGCCCACAATTTGTGATGGTGGAGAATCAAGTCCAAACCTTACATGTTGCTATCACTGGTAAAGAAAAAAACATCTTTTGAGGTCAAAAAAAGAAACCCAAAATTTAATCATTTGGGTTTTCCGAAAGCAATAAATGATTGAAACCTTTTTGTTTTTTTAACTCAAATATGGAAAGTCATTCGACCGGGATAATATCGTCTTTTTCATAATCGAGACTATACGATTGATATTTAATTTATTATCTATAATATAAATTAATTAAAAACTAAGCCAAATCGAATAAGATCGAGCCAGATCGAGCAAGATCGAAAGTAAACGAGTTTTAGGGTTTTTGACATGGTTAAGAGGGGAATTAGTTGGAGTTTTGAATATGAAAAGAAGAGAAAGTGGGGAATGGGGCCAAAACGTTGGGTGTAGGGAGCAATTATAAGATTATGATTTCTTGTAAGGTGTACCCAACCAATAAGAGCTTCATGCAATTGCAAAAGCAAAAAAAAAAAATCCCTTTTTCGATTATTGAGTCATGCACGAACGTGATTTAAACCATTTTTAGCTTCGAGTAAATTAAAATTCTTTATTATTGTCGTCGTTATTTTATAAAAAGAGGAAAATGAAGAAATCTAAAAAGGCAGAGTTAGTATAAGATTCTATCAAACTTTCCATGAAAAGCAGCCATTTCAGACTTTGGTGTCTCGAAAGTTGAAACATTTCTTTTCAAAAATTGTGGTAATCTTTGTATTATTGAAGGATCTATCTCAATCGTTATTGACGGAAAACATTTTTTCGAGTTTCGAGTTTCGAATTTCAAGATTGATCTTATGACTATCTTTGCACAACGATTAGTACTTACAATCCATTTTTGCTCATATACCGTGAGATCCTACATTGGTTGGAGAGAAAAAAAACCACTTGTTATATAAGCATGTGGAAACCTCTGCCCAATAAAAAAGAACGAAACATTTCTTATAAGGTGTAAAAACTTCTCCTTAACAAACACGTCTGAAAATCGTGAGGTTGACGACGATACGTAACACGTCTAAGCTATTTTCCAAGGTGGCTTATTAATATACAGCCTTTCATTTTGGCCCATTTTTGTTTGGAAGTGGGCTGAAAATATGTGGTCCATATATATTTTGGGCCTCGATCTTTATAGCTGGGCTTATGCTCGAAAAATTCTAAGGCCCACGTTTTTACCCTTCAAGTTGGGCCGGGCCGGAACTTGTAAAGTAGCTAAACTGAAAGTTTTTACGTATATATTAAAAATATTTTATATCATTAAATATATAAGAAAATAAATTTTAAATTTCGTATTATTTTTAAGTACTATTAATAAAAACAGTTTTTGTGTTTATATAAAAATAGAAAATATAAATTAATGTATTTATCATAAATTCTCGTCTACAAATTAAATTATATATTTTTAAGAAATCACGTTCATATATTTCTATAATTTAAATAAATGTAGTTTTATTTATTTATTATTATTTTACTCTATTTTTAAAAAAATAAGAATAATAATTAATATTAAGAAGCAATAAGAAAATAGAGAAAATGGGTTTAGGGTTTAAAAATGGAGTGGTCGGCCATTTGGGCTTATATGGGCTGAGAGTGAGAGTGAAAGAAGCGTGGAATTGAAAAAGATCGGCCGTGGGTCCCACGTGTCCCCTTTCTGGCCAGCCGTTGAATTGTCACACAAAAATAATTTTTTTTTATTTAAGGAAGAAGAGTGAGGGTGGCTCATTCCGTAATTATTGTGTTCCTAAGCCCCTTTTTGGTAATTCCTATTTATTTATTACTCAACACATATTTGCTAGCGGTGAGCTTGAATCGTTATAAATAGTGTCGGAGTCAGACACTGGATGGTGTGTCAGGGAGAAGGTTGAGCCCGAAAGGGGATGGACATGAGTCAGTGTGCCAACAAAGATGCTGGATTTTGAAGAGGGTGAATTGTGAGACCTCATATCAATTGGAGAGGAGAACGAAACATGAGGCGGTGTACCATCAAATATGCTAGACCCTGAAAAAGGTAGATTGGGGGATCCCACGTGGGCTCAAAAATGGAAAGTCCAAATAAGATAATATCTATTAGCGGTGAGCTTGGACTGTTACCAAAATTTTTCTTTTATGTCTCTTTTAATAATCGAAGGTCGGGTCGAGCATATACGAAAAGGAGCAATTTTGAAGCATGGGAAGGACGGATTATAGAGTGTAGCCCTAATGAATGAAAGTGTGTTTGTTAAATGGGATGCCTAAAATCAAACTCACTAACTCCTCTCCTCTCTCCATCACTCTTCTTATGGCCCCATTCTCCTCCCATGCTCGTGTTATTTGGCCACCAAACCTGTGACCTTGACGCTTATAGCCTCGACGTGCAAAACCCTTTCTTCTTTTACGAGTAGGATGTCATACACGTTAATGACAATAACCTAGTGTAAAGAGGTGATTTTGACAAGCTCTACGTTTAATAAATAAAGTAAGTGTTTGTACATAGTCTGTTTTAGCTCGTTACGTATCACCATCAGCCTCATAGTTTTAAAACGCGTCTACTAGGGAGAGGTTTACACACCCTTATAGGAAATGAATCTCACAATCCACTTGTAATAGCCCAATCTACTATTAGCAGATATTGGCTATTTTTAAAACGTGTATGTTAGAGAAAGGTTTTCACATACTTGTAATGAATACTTCGTTCCCAATTGATATGAATTTCACAATAAGTATATGAATCGAACGTCATGAATAATCAATAATATAATGGAATATTTAAATTATTAGTAGATATTTGTAGGTAAAAATATGATATGTTTACCGTGGTTAAAGAATGTAGTAAATATTTGTAGGTAAAAATTTCTATATCTCTATGGCGGGAATGGGCAGGGAGGAATTGACTTTGACTAGGGAGAGTGGGGGAAACGGCAAAGAATCCTGCCGTTCACACCAAATCTGTCCTTCAACCCCCAAACTTTTATCCATTTTCAGCGCAAATTATTGGCGCGTGTTTCTCAAATTCTGCCCCCACATTTTAAAATCCCACATCCCACGCGCAGAGTATCTTTCCGTTTTTTCTTTTTTGAAGATTTTTATAAAATTACAAATTTAACCTTTTACTTTTTCTTCGCATCGTATCTATTTTAATATTTTAATATTTAAATTAAAAAAATGGTGGATGATAGAACTTTAAAATTACTTAATAAAAATTTAAATTAGATTTTATGTTTAATAAGAGTATAAAATTTAAAATTTTAAAAATAAAAAAGCATTAAATATTTTTAAAAAAATTAAATTAATTTTAACTAACTTGGGGGAACTAAGAGAGTAATTTATTAAAACAGTGAGACGACGACGTTTTGGGAAATAGGCTTAAAACTGGGACGTGTGTTCTTAGGAAGTCTCTTATAATTGTCTGTTTTGATTAAAGCACTTCCACATCTCTCTCTGTCGCTCATTCGTTGTTGGTGTTGTTAAAAGTTGGGATTTCTGGGATTTTTACATCACCACTAGCAGCAGCACACACAACCATCTCAGGTCCGATCAGATCCATTCAAATCTTCTCCTCTCTTTGTTTTCAATTCTTGTTTCCCATTTCACTCTCCTTCTTGATTTTGATTTTGATTTCCCCCCTTTTTGTGTTTGCGAGTTTGATTCTCCGTCCAATTCGGGCCGTTGTTTTTTGTTGCTGGGTTGGGTTTCGTTTTAATCTTCCCCTTCTAGGGTTTCACTGCCTTTGGGGTTTGTTTCATTGCTTTAATTTTTGGAATTGGTTTTTTTTTTTTCCTTTTTTTTTTTTTTTGGGTTTTGAGCGGGAATCGTACTTGGAGGAGGAAATGCGTGGGATCGTCAGTTAGGGTTCGTGTTTAAGACTTCGACCTTTGTGTCCAAGTGTATGACGATTTGGTGCTGCTTATGCTTTACCGTTGGAGAAGAAGACAAGAAGGAAGAGGAACTGAAGATTGGTGAAATGAAACCCATGTGTGAGGATGTTTTTGACAACCCGGATGACTCTGATCGCATTGTCCGAAATGGGGATGATTCTCAAGGGACTGACCCGCTTGCGATTGCTGTTGATGGGCCTGACCGCCACGATGCTGATCGACTGATATTGTTTGAGGATATGGACAGAGCAATGCACGATGACGGCGATGATGGTGCTCATTGGGATGATGACGTCGGCGGCGGCGGTGGGGCTATCAATCCTCGGAATTTTTCTTTTGGAATTCTGCATCAATCTGAGGGTGGGGAGAGTAGTAGAGCCTCGGCTTTGGCTTTGTCTTCTACAGTGGAGACTTCTATTGAGGATCGCGATCGCGATGTCCACCATAAGCGCGCTAAAGTTCTCTCCAAATTCAAGTGAGTCAGCAGTAGACTGCTTGTAGATATGAATTCTGCTTAGGTTTCATGGGTTTGGCATTTTTCTTGGTTTTCATT